CGGACTAACACTGGAACAATGCAGAGTCCAAAAAAGTGGACTACTAAAAAACTGTAGTCAAGGATGATCCCGATTTAAAAATATGCAACAATAGAAAGAGCAAAATATATGACCTACTTGGCAAGAAGTATCAAAACTATCTCCAGTTGTTGTCATAAGTATTTCGTCAGTTACTCAGTGTCAAAAAAACTCCTTCAAAGAGTTCGTGAAAGGTTTTATTGGATGAAGAGTTCCGATGATGTAATTAACTGGTGTGAGAAATACACCACCTATGCTATGAGTAATGGATTTGAACGAAAAAAAAAGCAATACAACGACGGTAGCCTATTTGAGATTCTCTTAGGTATTGCTGGACCATCCCGTATGACCGAGAATAGTAATAAATAGATGATGGTGGTTATGGATTATTTCGCGAAGTGGGTTAAAGTCTACTTCATTCCAAATCAAAAGGTCGCATCTGTTGCTCTCGTATTGACAAAATAGTTTTTTACGATCACCATCAAAAGTAGGCTTTGAGGCATTGAAAAATAACTGCAAAGTTGATGTTTTCTGTAAGCTGCACATACTTCGATTTTATTTTACTATACGGAGAATGGTCGCACTGCGCAGCTTTCTGATTGCCTTTTAAAAGGAGATAGAAAACTCCGCCATTTTGAACCCTTATTACGTGTTGCCTACATCTTGGCGCAATATTTTTAATAGGTGCGTTTTAATCATCCGCTTCTGCTTCGAAATTGTAGGTTTTCTTGTTTTAATCTGATAGGTTATAACGACTAAATCGACAATTCCGGAAGCAGAAGCGGATGGTTAAAACGCACCTGATATTTTGCTTGCTGCTGTCAGTGTCAGTGAATATTATTTTTGGAGTCACAGTTTATTGCTCAAGAATCAGTTAGCTCACTCGGACCAGTTGAAAGTTCCAAAATAACATTCACTCCAGGGATACAAATTTAGGATACGCAGAAGACTGCTGTTTTATTATAGGCGGTTGTCATATATTGTATTATCCGAGTTGCGCAGTATATAAACTGGAACATTGAGATCAAATGTGCCGACGCAGAGTGAGCGATCTGATTCTTTAGCTATAAACTGTGTCATAGGAATCAAAATGGCCGCGCCCTATGTTGGGCGTGTCGGACCTCTCTTTTGCCCCGTATAGTAATGAAAGTATGTGGTAAGCTGTCATAATTTGGCATTATTGGCGCTCTTAAGCGAAAAGTAACTTTATTTATATATAAAATGGAGCTAGTAGTTATTTTTACATGGTCTGTAGCCTAAATAAATATTTTAATTGACTTCCTAATATTTTAAATAATCCAACAGTATTTTCCGTAAATAATAAATAATACCAACACATAATTATTCAAATTAAATAATATGTAACCTATATACTATACCAAACAGGCAGCACAACATGCAAACAACTTAGGAATCAAGTAGGTTGATGTCAAAGAAAGCAGCAGTTAATGTATTGTGACTGAAATTTTATAGATAATGTGTATTCCACAATTAATTTAATTATTATTTTATTTTGGTGTGATCGTAGAAAAAAATATTGGGTGTTATTTGAGCCGAAAGTCCGTTGACAACCACGACTGATTGTCATACTCCAATACGCGTCAAGGAGAAACTTTATTTCTCTACTGCTAAAGTGCAACGTTCTGCTCTATACACAAATATTTATTATAAGACGATTTGGAGTGCCTTTGGATATCCACAGTAACCAAGGCGGCAGACATTTTAAAAGCCAACTTTCCGGGAAATCTGTGACAGACTAGACATAAGGAAAACCAGAACTTTATAAAAATAAAAATTACCTAGATTTATTCGGTCATGTTTTTATTTTAGCACAGTACTACGTATATTTCGCAAACATTTTTTCCATATTCGGGTGCAGTCAAAATTTAATAAAACTTAAAATTTAAAAATTTTTAAAGTAACAGAAACCCTATCTTTCTGTTTCAGGAAATATTTATTTATAAAAAATTCTGCTACGGCCAGGAAATTATCCTTATTCAAAGAAAACCAGAACAATAGGGCAAATGAATAAGATCATTAACAGATGGTGGTTTCCAACCATCTGCGCAATTGGGATCAGTATCTTTCGCTTTTCGCAATGGTCTATAGATCTGCTGTAAAAGAATCAACAGGCCAAACAAAAGAAAAAGTCCTATTCGGAATAAGACTACCTTGAGTTTAAATGATGACTTGTGGTCCAGTTAAAAAGAATAATGGACGATATGCATGAGATGGTTCACTCGCATATGCAAATCACCATCTACAGGACAACAAAATGTTACGATATCCAAACTACAGTGAGAAATTTCAAGGATAGCGACAAAGTCTGGCTATGTAACCCAAAAACACAAACGCGTTATTCTCCGAAGCTTAAAAGATCTTGGGAAGGTCCATAACTCATTAAGAAAAAATTTACCGTATAATCAAGATCCCAACCGGTGAACCCCTTACCTTGTCTTTAAAGAGAATTTATAAGTGCATATAAAGTTATCAGAACAGCAAGATGTGTTACAACCGAGCAACAACAAGATTTTTTTACGGTTCCAAAGGAATACTCGCAGGTTTATAACACTTTCTCCAGCATCAACGATACACGAGGACTGGCATCTGTTCTCCAGAAGAAGTTTGTTCGATTGCCAGGAGATTGCCTGGAAATTCTTTGAAACTTTAAGATAAATTACGCTACCTTTTTTATATAGTAACAAATTATGGTACACAGCTATTCATCCAGTGTCCAGGTTAAAGTGTCTTGTTACTTCCATGCAATTGAAAATTGTAAAAACGATCCAGTTGCAGATACAATCATTCAGTTTTAATTTCAGGAAGAAGTATCTTTAAAGGAGGGGGAAATGTCATTGTGAGCAATTTGCGACCAGTCCAGTCCTGCTCTATTTCTCGTCGATCGATCAGGCTGTTAGCCAGCCGCCTATGCGAAAGGTCAAGTGAAATCTTTGGGACAGGCCCGAAGTAGTAAAATTTGTATATAAATAGCTGAACTTTGTCAGTATAAGTTATATAGTTGATTTTGTTACGTAATGTAAAACTGTCAATACAAATTAGTAGTGCTGATATAGAAAATAAGTATTTTAGATAAATTATCGATAAGTTGTAAAAAAAATTAGTGGATTATGTCTGTAAATAGACAAATAAACAATAAACTGTTTTAATTAAATAACGTTGTACAGTATTTTTTTATGCAGAACATACCCTTGTAAGTCTATCGTATGCATAATAACATATCTTATTATAAATTTCCAATAAATAAGGACGTCTTAAATTCTTTATCAAATTTTTTTAATTTTAATAGTTTAGGATTTTATAATGATATAAAAAATGATCAAGGGAAAACATTGGATCTAGTTATTAGTTCTTTAAATAATGTAATAAATTCTTCTATTAGGAGGAATTATTTTCCAAATGTCAGTGAAGACTTCTATCATCTTGCACTTGAAACTTTCATAACATTAAACCTTAAAAAAACAACAAAAACAGTTACCAACGAATCTAAATTTAATTATAAAAAAACTAACTTTCTTTTAGTTAGTGAAACGGTTAGAGATGCTAACTGGTCCGACGTTTTAATAGATACTAATGTAAACATGGCTTTAGATAAATTTTATACATTTTGGAATGAAATTGTCGATGCCTGTGTACAAAATTAAAAGTAAAAAAAAATCAAAATTTTCCCTGTTGGTTTACTAAAGAAATTAAGAAATTTAGAAGGTTAAGAAAAGTTTGTGATATATTCAATAAAAAATTTATTTATTTACGAAAAATAATTAAAAAATTAATAAAAACAGAAAAAAATAAATATCTAAATAATTTACAAGAGAACACAATCGAAAATGTAAACTTATTTTTGAATTATGTCAATAAAAAAAAGGAAAATTCAGTAAATTATGGAAATTATATATATCACGTTGAATCTATTAATATGAATAGCTGATGCTTTTGCAAATTTTTTTTCCTCTGTTCATACATCTAACAAAGCAACTTATAATTTAAATTTTTCAGAAAATAGTTTATATTCTGATTGTTGTTCTCTCAAATTATTTGCTATAGCAGATTTTAATTTGGCAGTTAAAAAACTAAACGCTAAAAAAGCAGCAGACAAAAGCGTTTAAAGGAACCAGTTGTTTTTAATTATATGATGAATAGTGAAATAAAAAAAATGAAGAGATAAAAGATCTAGATGTTACTTATAATAATCAGTTATCTTTTGCCCCTCACATAAAAAATGTAATTAAAGCTGTAAATTGCTTATTAGGATTTATAACTTATTATAAGGTAGAAGTTTGTCTTAAGAAACTTCTACTTTTTCCAATACCAATACAATGAAAACTCTCTACTTTAGTTTAGTCAGATCTAAATTAGAATTTGGATCTCTGATTTGGTCAATTGAGTATCTAACTCATTTGAGAAAAACTTAAAAGTTCCAAAATAAATTTCTTATGTATTTTTATTACAAAAAGTATCATATCAGAGTTGATTATAACTTGATTAGGTCTAGTCAACTTCGAGACGAATTTAAAATTGTACACTGAATTTATTTTTATAGAGGATAATTAATTGTAAAATCAATACCCCTGATATTCTTTCTCTAATTAGATTTAATGTTCCACCACGCATAACTAGGACGTCAGCTGTGTTTAACATACCGACAATACATTTGATGAACAAAATTCCTCTAGTGACCATGTTTTGTTTGGCCAACAATTTTAATTATCTTATTGAATTGGACTGGTATGTTCCACGAATTATTTTTCGCAAAACCATACTAAATCATATATTAACCTTATGCGGTTAACGTAAATATAATTAATTGAAGTGAAGTAAACATAGCTCTATAGTTTTTGATAGCTTTACCTCTTATCTTAGATGTAAATAGTTTGTAGTTTTGTAATTATATATGTTCATTCATGTAATTAGGCCAAAAGGCTTGTTTGAATAAGAAAATAAATAAATAAATCTCAAATTTTTACCTAATAGCCGAAGAGTAAGTAGAACAGGCCCGTAATGATTGATTTGCCATTCCATCTGCAAGCCATCTTCAGATAATTTGTCACCCAATCCCCAAGCCCCTGCGTTGTTTACTAGGACATCAATTTTTGTCTTATTTTTTATTATGTCATCGACAAAATTATTGATAGATTTAAACGAAGCCAAATCTAATAATTTCAATGTTACATTTTCATTTTCTGTTAATCTTTTAATAGATTCAACTGCTGCTGATCCTCTTTGTTGGTCCCTACATGCTAGAATAACTCTAGCTCCCCGTTTTGCCAATTCTAAAGACGTTTCATATCCAATTCCTGAAACAAAAAAGATGCTACACTTATTAACTGGTAAATATTTTGTAGAAAATCTATCAATAGCCTTCAAAAAAGGTCAAAATTGCAATATTAATTTTATTTATTTTAACCAAACCCAAATTAGAGTGACAGAGGGAGACTTCTAACATTTTATATTTTCCCGCTAAACCAATTCAAAAAAATGGCAGCATCGTGAAGCAGCAGCAACTTAGTAACCTAAACCACTTTAACATCGTTGAAAATTAAATTTAAAAAAAACAATTTTTTTTTTGTTTTCGCCTCATATAAACAAATAAAATAAAGATAAATTACGGTTGCCGTTTAACATAGGCTTTGTTTGAAGCTGTGATCTCTAATAGTTTTTTCATCAGAATTAGGATTGTTTTATAAATATTTGGTCAATGATAAATTTAAAGCAAAATGCAACTAAAACATAAAACTTTATTTTACAAAAATAAATTCTGCTATTTTTATTCAAATGTAATAAACGATATTTATAGAACAAAATTAAGTTTTTAAATGATTACACTGTTAATATTGTTTGTAGGTAGATATCAGTGAACTGTATACATAAAATGGAACAACAATCCCTATTGACAAAAATAAACCAAATTGAATTGGCGCATTACGTCACAGGAGTACTTGTAAGATTGCGCATAGAGTGCCTTTGTAGGTCCGTTTTAATCATTTCATGTAATTATTTTAAAATCAGGAGAAATTAATTTCTGAAACTCAGTAAAAAAATCAAATTTTTCTCTTATATACCTAAAGGTGGTATTCTTACCATATGAAGTCATACATTTTAAATATTTTACTTCATACGCAGGACGTAAAAAAATAGGAATTGGGGCAGAGTTATACTTATTTTTAATATTATGGAAAAATATGTATGAAATCGATAACTTCTATCTCAAAAAAAATGATATGCAATAAGTATTGACATATTTTCTCATTTCTTACTCTTATAATAAACAAACGTTCTATATGCTTTGAAAGTAATTTGCAATGGATACACCAATCTATAACTTTGTTAAAACTTACCTTTATATATTCTGTAACCTTGTTCTAACAAGTATCTAATGGAGACTCTTAAGCTCAATTGAAAGAACTTTACACAAATATATTAAGAAGAGGCATAAATAATACTGAAATGATGAGGCCTCAAAACCTTGACTAGGGTATTATTTTAATTTAGATAATATATTTACATTTAAATAAAATGCTAAGATATTATTAACTGTATTTTATTAGTAAAATAGTAACATTAAAATTTTCCATAAAAATGTCCCCACTCTATCAACACTTTTAGTGATTTGTTATTGATTCGGCGTTTATTTTTGTTTTAATAAACTGAAAAACATTAATCATTATTAACAATTTTATAAATGAGAAATACATTTTTCATAAATTTTTAATGTCGTTTATAGAAATAAAAAGGATATTTGTGTACCGAAAGCTATAAGTATAGAGTTCGTCTTTTTCGGCCGAATCAAAAAGTTACGGACGAGGCCACGTAATTTCTGGTGAGTGTTATTACAACTTATTTAAGAATAAATAATACGTATCATGCTTCTGTTTTTCATAAGAGTAAATATCAGTAATTTCAGATATTTGACTCTAGTACCTAGCCATTTCATTCCTGTATTGTATGCAAGTATACATCTAAATCATATAAATTTTATCGGCTTAACAGCAAAACACACTAAGTCAGATTTGAAAAAAAAATCCGTTAGCCACTTAATGTATTTTTCCTGAACAAAATAATGCTATTCTGGAATTTATGAATATGAAAATAAAGTTAGAATTGTTGGAGGACATTGTGAATTTTATCAGTTTATAAAGTGGAAGAAATCCAGTCAAAAAAAAAATGACAGTGTGTTTTGCTTGTAAACCAGCGATTTGTTTAAGTACAACTTGTGTATGATAAGAATGTTTTATATAAAAGGCTCAATAAAACTTCATCCAAAAATATGTAAACATACAATTATTAAGGCAAAGGATCTAATAATTTAAAAACAATACAAAAATTAAATATAAAAATCCAATATTAAAGTATTAAAAGTGGTAATTATAAATAAAAAAAAAAGATAAAGTTGGTTAATGGTCTATTTTCAAAGAAATATATGGAAATCCCATAAGAACTGAAGGATACATTAGATATTTACGATATAAGTGCGGTATGAACATTATTAATATATGCATGTGAAAATTACCCAACGAGTGCGTCAGCACGAGTTGGGCAATCACATAAGTATATTAATAATGTGTTACCGGCACGAATATTGTACAATATTTTATCTACAACTGTCATGTAACAACAACTCCGAAAATTCGAAATTATATTGAATAAAATTATGTCGGCATATCGTTAAAATTGACTATTTGCGAATACAAGTAACCTGTCAGTATTTTGTAACCATAGCAACGGAATTAATAATCAACTTCTGTCAAAGTGGCGTTTAAAATCGTACAAATTCTGACTTAATGTCGCTCAAATAACCATTATAAGTACATGTATTATCAATTATGTCTTCAAGTGAAGATGATCTTCCACAAGATATTGAAAATACAGCAACCGGTGTAATAGAAAATTTAGTACCACAGAAATCACGTGAGAGATATCATTTAACTTATGACAAATGGTGTAAAGATAAGAAAATATTAAATATTATAAATGAAAAAGCATTACTGGTATATTTCAACGAATTAAGTAAATTACAGAAGTCTATATCTCTTTGGTGTTACTACTCGATGTTGAGGACATAATTGCTTATTAAACAAAATATCGATATCAAAAAACATATTAATTTGATAGCATTGCTAAAACGAAAATCAGAAGGGTACAAACCTAAGAAATCTAAGGTATTTTCGAAAGAAGAAATAACTAAATTTATTGTACATGCAGGAGATGAGAAATTTTTATGCACGAAGGTAATATATAATAGATATTTGTATAAATGTAAATAAATATTAATGCAATATATATTTTAAGTGCTAATTATTGGTTTGGCTGGTGCATGTCGGAGAGAAGAGTTGACAAATTTATTGATAGAAAATGTAAAATATCAAGGATTGTGCTATCAAATTGTCATTCCAAATACAAAAAAAAAAAATATCGCGAGAATTTTTTGTTACATCTGGGAACATTGATGGTATTAATTTAGTTACAATTATTAGAAAATACATTAAGATCCACAAGTTGTGGCCATCAATGATTTTTTGTTGGATACAGAGCAAGAAAATGTATAACACAACCTATTGGAATAAATACTATTGGTAGTGTTCCAAGATTAATTACCGAATTTCTTGAACTGCACAATCCAAAGCAGAGCATACAGGGCATTGTTTACGGCGTTCTTCAACTTCAGTTGTAGCCGACTCTGGTGCAGATCTTCTAAATATTAAAGGACATGGCGACTGGAAGTCTAATTCTGTCGCTGAAGGATATATTGAGACTTCGGCCAAAAATAAGAAAAAAACAGCTATGAAAATCTTAGGTGAAAACCAAGAAAATATACCATCGACTTCAAAACATATGGAAACTAATATTTGCAATTATCGGGCATCGGGCATGTCTGCATCTGGCATGAATTTGTACGATTGCCAGTATTGTATTATAAATATCTATAACAAATAATTTTTTTATATTGAGTTCATTATTAATATTATATTTGTTCTGTTTTGTTAAATAAATGATTAATTTTGATTAACTATTAGTTCCGCATCATTACCGCACTAGTGCGGTAATTATTTCATTACCGCACTAGTGCGGTAATATACGTCATTACAAAATTTATATGAGTGTCAAATCAGTGTCATTACATGACAGTTGTAGGTAAATTATATTTAAATGACAACATGTATGTCACCAAATTGAATTAATGTTATTGTAATACTAGATACATAGGTACATCAACTGCTTCTGATGCATTTTTGCATATGTAATTTGTAATCTTTTAAATAAATGTGTTAGAAGCAAATATCGACAGATATTCTAGATTAAAACCTTCTTCTACTCTGCTGAATTAATCAGGGGACTTATTCTCTAAGCAGCATTTCTGAAAACACTCAGCGAGTCTCTCTAGAAACATGACATACAACTAACAAAAGTGTAAAGCACAAACGTTTTGGTATTCTCTACTTCCTATGCTGTTTATATTTGAAAAAAAAGTTACACATGAGTAGCGTTTTGCTGTTCGCACTTCAAGCTTTGACATTTAAGGCTAAGATTTTTTGTAGATTAGTCAAACATTAAAACATGAACCTAAATATTATGGCTTGAATATTAAAATGTCAGCAAATGTATGCCGTTTTTTATGTTTTTGATTCCTTATAATTTTGAAATTACCTCAATATATTTTAATAGTTTATAATTATAATAATGTCAAAATGGCATTCAAATCCTAACTTTAGATATTTAGACCAATCGGCATTTACAATTTTTAATTAGGACAGCTTATGACAAAAATTGAAATTACTTACGAATAGCAAAATCGTCTAGCATTAGAGAATACCATAATCCCATGCTTGTCGTGTTGGTGATCGAACTTTGTTGACAAGTCCGCTTGGTGCTTTTGTTGCTATGCGTTTTCGGCTGAAAGTTAGAGAATAACTCCCTCTGACTTGTTCTAGATTAACAAATTCTCATTAATAAACTTTCAACATGTTTTTAAAGTTTTTGGAATTTTAATCTTTTAATGATCTTCATAAATATTTTCTAAAAATGGGCATTTTTAAATTTACCTAGTTTTTAAGCATAACTTTTTTTCTCTGAGTTTAAGTACTTTTATATGTTCTCTTTATAAATTGAGTAACCTTTTCTATACCTGGGGACAACCGATCGAGGCACAATTCCGGTCAATCCTCAAGCAGTGTCCACGACAGGACAAAACTAGAGGAGAGGTTGTCATGGTGCGAGGGGATAAGATCTAAGGACCTTTTCCCCTAGACTGTGACTGGTGAAATTTTAGGAAAATATTCAAATCAAGGGAGTTTGGGAT